TAAAAAATATAAATAAATTTAAAAGTATTTAAAAATAATAGCTCAAATAAAAAATTATTAAATTATTTATTAAATTAAGCCCCACGTTTTCAGACGATGAAGAGGGCAACAGATTGAAGAAAGAGGTAAATGGGCTTGCAAAAGCCCAATCTCAAACTGAAATACTAAAACTTAAAAATAAACCAGCCCAAAGACCGAAGCCCACAACGAAGCACTTTCATAGTAAATATATAAACTCAATTTATTTAATAGTCAAACCCTAGAAAGGGACCGCAGAACCGAATAACACGTTGCGACAAACGCCTTTATAAATGGTAGACTCACATAAACGATACTCAGTTCATTTGCGCCTCTCGAAGTCCCTCTTTTTCTCTCTCGCGCCCGCTCCCTCTACTTTCTTTCTTCCCCCCCAAAAACCCTAGCCCCCATCCAAAACCCTAGTTTCGCTTCTCCCCTCGCCGCAGCAGCATAATCCATGGAGTTCTGGGGTAATCATCTGCCTCTCCTCTCTACTCTTCTTCGCTCTGTTTGTTCCATTTACTTGCCTCTTCTTTCATTTTTTACAACTTTTCAGTTTCTCTTATATGTATGCTCCAATCTGTTATTTTTATTTTTGCTCTTTGTCTTCTATGTTTTGCTTCTTCCGGGGTATTTGTCTCTGTTGCTTCAAATGATTTCGAGAATGATTGTTGTTTGACGACATAGAATGAGATCTAAAGGGTTTTCACTGTCTTGTATGTTTATGTATCGATATTGAGTGATTAATTAATTGGCTTGTACTGTCAGGAGTGGAAGTTAAGGGTGGAACACCTCTGGAAGTAAGGGTTGAGGAAGACACTGTGATTCATCTTTCACAGGTTAGAAGGGATTGATTTGTGTTACTGAAGTTGTTTTTCTTCTCGGTTATATCTGATTGTCTAAAAGTATCTGTAATGTTTATTCTTACCTAGGCATCGCTTGGCAAGTCAAAGAACAAATCTGAATCTGTGCCTCTGTATGTTGAGTTGGACGATCGGAAGATTTGTCTTGGAACTCTTTCCCATCAGAATTTCCCTCAGATACCATTCGATTTAGTATTTGAAAAGGATTTTCTGCTCTCTCACAGCTGGAAAAATGGGAGTGTGTACTTCTGTGGTTATAGATCTCCCATGCCAGAGGAAGGATATCCTTTTTTATTTGTAGAAAATTTTTATATATTTAGTCTGATTTTTTTTTTTTATTGTTATTATTATGTAGTTTTGAGGATTAGATGATTTAACACTATTTTAGGTTAAGAGAGGTTCTTCCACGAGTGGTTATACTTTATGTTAGACTTTTGAGTTTGACTATCTATCTTGGTTTAATTTAAACTAGGGTGGTAGGACATTGACACTACAATTGGGACTTAGAAATAGGTCCTTGTGTTTCAAGTTGGGGGTTTTGTTGAAGTTTTAGGTTTGCGTAGCCTGTAGTGCTCTGTGATATGACAGTGCTAAAAAAATACTTTTTAATTAGCAAAGCTTGTTGGTAGAACTGTAATGTGTTAAGGTTGAGATTTGGGAGCTTAATTTTATCATCCTTTTATGTCTTAAAAGAACTTTTGAATGTCATCTTTTGCTTCCCTGACCTGTTTTCTTCTTTTGCCACTAATTATTCAACTGAAGAAGAGAGTGAGGAGGAGGAGGAAATGCCCTTGGTTGCGGCAGAAAATGGTGAGTGCTCTTACCATACATCTTTTGTATTAGTAGAGTGAATATCTGATTAATTCTAGTTGTTATCTGTGAATTACTTTTCTCCTTCCAGGTAAGCCCAAGCCAGAGGAAGAAAATGAAAAATCAGTTAAGGCTAATGCTGCTAAACCCGATTCTGCAAAACAAAATGTCAAGATAGCGGAGCCAAGCAAGGATCAGAAATCTGAGGATGATGATGAAGATGATAGTGAGGATGATGATGATTCTGAAGATGAAGACGAATCTTCAGGAGAGGAGAATAGTGATGAGGTATGTTTCTTCATGGCTAGAGAAATCTTATGAAGAATTCAAATGTTTTCTGTTTTGTTCTTGTTGATTTAGGTTTTTAGTTGTGATGGCTTGTGTTAGTTGCATTCCTTGTTCTGTGTTGCATGTTGTGATTTTGTATCTCTATGGTGGATGTAGAGACATGTACATTTCAAGCCTTTTTTATTTGTGTATTGATGACAACATACTTGATGTGTATGTTTTACCATTTCGTATAGCATTTGGTTGGATAAAGAAGAAAAATTGGATCCAGACAATACAATGATGACTGATAAGTAGAGCTGTAGAGCTTTGAAGTACAATGTGTTGATTATAGAGAGATGCATGTAATGGATGTCTGCTAGCAGGTGGAAAAGAATTAAACATTTATATTAATTTTGTGGGTTGAGTTGACTTTTCTTATTTTAGTCATGTCATAAATGATTGGTTTTAGTACTAATTATTAATTCAATAATAATATCCTACTTTGTTTCCATCGACTTATGTTTATCTACATGATCTTCATGTTAATTTTCTGATTTTTTGCTGGGCAGATGTCTTTCGATGAGAGTTCAGATGAGGAGGGTGAAGAGACACCTGTTAAGGTATCTGTGTGTCAGTAGACTGTTGTATTTCCTAGTTCTTATAGGGTTTCATGAATCATTAGGTTTGAAATTTATGATTAATTCTGTTTCCTTTAACCCTTCTCTTGTTAACTTTTATGCTTTCAAGGCTGAAGCGAGCAAGGATGCAGGAAAAAAGAGACCTAATGAATCTCCAACAAAAACACCCCAAGCAAAAAAGGCAAAATCAGCTACTCCTGAGAAGACAGGTCTTTGTACAGAACAACTCGGAAATATAAAACTTTTGATTACTGTTTTATGCTTTTTGCTTCCTGTTGTAAGATTTATCAGGATATCTTTATATATTTGTATATACAAAAAAGAGAGACATGTTTTGTTTCTTGCGATGCAGACGGTAAGAAGGGTGGGCACACTGCAACTCCTCACCCAGCAAAACAGGGTGGGAAAGCTGCTGCACAGACTTCTAAATCTGGTGGTCAAGTCAAGTGCAATTCTTGTAGCAAGTACTTCCCTAAAACCTGTAGCAGTGCTAACTCCACTTGAATTGATAGTTTCGACTAACATCTTGGTTTTTGTTGAACAGGACATTTAACTCTGAGCAAGCCCTGCAATCTCACTCTAAGGCCAAGCATAGCAGCAAGTGAGCTGGATTGTTGTCTGTGGTGGAGATGCTGTTTTGGTTATTTTCAACCATATTTACCATCTAGAGTGGCTGATTTTTCTTTGTTTTAGTTGTATTTTGATGGAGTATTTGAAATTTTTAATGCATATTAAACTTAAGTGCTTTAAGTTGAAGGTTTAAGGTTCTATCATAGAGTTATTCCTTCTAAATTCCATCTTTGTGAAATCTTAGAATTTATTTAAATGAATTTTCCTGTGTAACATGTGAAGGGGAGGAACATTGTGTTGCTTGTTCCTTTTTCACCAAAAATTATCAACAATTCACCATTCTTGTGTCTCTCCATGCACACTCTTCACAATCGGAAAAGGTAGGAATAAAAAAGAGTCAAATGTACGGAGGGTTTTCTCTTAAAAAAAGTGCAGAATAAATAAATAAAAATTCATGGAATTTATTCAAAAAATAACTCAGTAGATGGTTCATGATCTAAATGGTCATGAAAATAAATTCCAGATCGATTAAATAGGGAGAGTAGATGCGACAACTCCTCAATGGAAAGTTTAGAAGGCCTCTTGTTTTCAAACCCCCCTGATCTTAGAACATCTACCATCTTCTCCTTGAAAGAATTCATCTCCAAGTCAGAGCAACAAGATATGTTGGAGTCTTCTCCCTCACTCCCACCTTCTCCTTCAGCATCACCATCATTGTCACGTTTATAGGTCTTGGTAATGGCAATACTTTCATTTCCATAGCCCCTAGTTGTAGCCAATTTCAAAAGCTCCATCACTTTCTTCTTCTGCTTAAATGTAGCCCCTAGCGTCTTGTTCTTCTTGCTGAAGCACGTTCTGGTGAAAGCCCACCACTCATCAAGATTGACATTTGGGTTTTCAGCTTTCGGCCGGATAATGACTACAGAGGAATCCACTTTTGGGCAGGGAAGAAACTCCCTCTTGCTCACGTCCATTACGAACTCCACATCAGCCACCAGCTTTACATTAACAGCTAATCTGTTGAACTCAGAGTCCCCGGGCTTAGCCAATAACCGACGTGCAAACTCCTTCTGAAGTAGCAGCGTTGCACTCCTGAAGGGATTCTCTCCATAAACCAATTTAGCCACCAAAGGTGACGATATCCCATAGGGAATGTTAGCTACAACAAGATCAAACTGAGGAAACTCGGTCTTCATTGCATCTTTACATATAACCTGCAAAAACCCATCGCACTCAATCGCGCTATGTTAGATAAAATAAAACTTGAAACTTTCTCTTGGACATTTCATCGAACATGTACAGAACATGTGTCGAACTTACATCCAACCTATCTTGCAGCCCATGCTCAGCAACACGTTTTTGCAGAATATCCACCATTCTTCTATCCAATTCAATCGCGACAACCCTTTTGGCCACTTCGAGAAGCTTAAGGGTGAGATTTCCGGTGCCGGGTCCGATCTCTAGGACAGTGTCTGCGGGTCTCACGTTAGATCTTCGGACAATGGAGTCGAGAATTCGCGTGTTGGTGAGGAGGTGTTGTCCCTTGCTCTTGTGTAGATGCAAATACTCCCCTTGATTTTCCGTCGCCCTCTTCCTATCCTCATCTTCATAAGGATTACTGGATTTGGTGCGAAGAGTTCTAAGAAAATTCTGCTGGGAAATACCTGAAACAAAGCCAAGCTTTCTTGATTTCAGCAAAAGCAGCATTTCTGCTTCTTTCAGTTCTGATTACTGATTAGGATCGACTTGGTTAATTCTTCTGTTATCAAATCGGATCATGGCCTGAGAAGACGTGGGCCTTAAACCCAGTCTAGTAGAGAGACCATATAAATAAGCAAGCTGCTTTGGGTCAGCTTTAAATTGGAACAGTCCAGTAAATTTTTTTAAAGGGATTGGCCTTATTGTATTGCAAATCTATGATGAATTGATGACATCCAAATTAAATGTAATTTGTAACGCGTACTTGACAATTTTTTTGTTGATACATTTGATAATAATGAGCTATACAAAAGGGAATAGCAGTTTCATTTTCTTTAAATCTCTTTTCACCTGAATTTAATATTTGAATTTGAGATATTTAATTTTAAATTTTAAATTTTTAACCATTGAATTACATTTTGAGGTTGTGTACTTGATATGTTGTAGCATAATTATTGCTAGGTTGTAATGGGGATGGAAGACAAGCAGTTTAGGCGAAAATTTGGTATCCTTGAATTATGATTTCAGCATGGAAAGAGTTAATCATTGTTCCTTGCATGTGTCTGGGATTCATCTACTGTTGGCTTCATGCCAATAAATGGTATTATTGTACAAATTTAATTAGTTTAATGGGAGTAATTATCTTGTTTGCCGGGTATCAATACCTCAACATTCCCCTGTTTTCATGTGTTAACTTTTAGAACCACAGAGCCATAAACAGAATAATGTCAGGACTCAGGAGTTGTTTGTCTGCTCAGTCAATCAAGCAGAAGAACCAATGATTTGCAATTATAAAGATCAAATTTCTTGATTTTTGTGTTGTGAAAGAAATTGTGCTCTAATTCTAAACAAAAAAAAAAGATTGGAATTTCTAATATAAGTATATTCGATGGTGAGGAGCGGAATTAGAATTCAATGACAAGTAAGGCCGGTTGTTTCTATTTATATAGTCACAGGGCCTGAGGCAACTGCGCCTTAACTTTTTTTTTTTTGGACTGGATAAAATCTGCGTCTAATCCTACCTCAATTTAATGCCCCTGTATGTTGAGTTATTTATATTAAAAGGGGTTTTTTAATTTGTGTTCTTATGATACAGGTTAATAGTTAAAAAAAAAATATTGATATTTAATTTATTATTTTTTAAATTAAATTTATCTAAGTGATAATAATTTTGATATTAATGATAATTTTTACATTTTTTTATACATATTTATGATAAAAAAAATTCTTAACATGTATTTTAAAAATATAAGTCCATGTTAAAATTAGGAAATTGTCAAAAATTACGTCTTCATGATTTGTAAAGAAATTACTAACATTTGAACTCATGATGATTGGGTAAATCGAAATAATATCCTCAAATCGAATACATATTAGTGTGACACTTTCTTCAAAAGCTGCAAGAACCGCATAACAGTGTAAAAAGCGGAAATGGCGGCAAATGCACATGAAAGAAGCGGTTTTTACCGTTGAAGGATTGGATGGTTACTGGCCCCAGCCACAAAACAAGAAAAAGAGATTGGAATCCAATATGCTTTAATTAGAGGGGTATGGTGTGGTTGAAGGAACATAAAGGTTTAAAGAGAGAGAGGGGAAGCTTAATGGAACCACCCTATTGAACAATTGCAAAAGCACCCACATCAAAGTCGTGATTGATATGATGGGATCCAAACACTTTCTCTATTTTAATGTAACTTTACTCCTAAAAAATATTTTATATTGGATTTACACGTGTAAGTGTAATTGTTTGCAATCAATGACAAAAAAAAAAAAATTATAGATGTATATAGTAAAACTATATGTTAAGTTCTTGAATTAATTTTAAATTTATTATTGGGCTTTCAAATTTTAATAAATGTATGTAAACCTCTAGACTCTCAAACCTAAGCAATTTAACCCTTTTCTTTATTGTAATTTAACCCTTATCCTTACAACAGATAAAGAATTAAGTACTAAATTGCTCATATGGTGGAGTATAGGGGCTTATATGTATTAATTAAAATTTAGAGACTCAATAATAAATTTGGAGTTAGTTTAAGAGCTTAATATATGATTTTACTTATTATAATTTGTTATTTTACAATTCGTACTGCTTTAAATAGTAGAATAAAGACTTTTAAATTAAAAGAGTTCCCAATATCAAGAATCTTTCTTCGTTTAAAAATTTGTTTTTTTACAATTTAAAGCAATTTACATTAAGAATATTTTCTCTTTTTTTTTTTTAACAAGTTGTCAAGGATCGGGCTTCGACCCCGTCCATGAAGAAAAAGAAATACATCTTAATCTGGTTGGGTGTCAATTAGTTCGAAGACTCAGGTGCAAGAATATTTTCTCATTTAAGTATTAATATTTTACAATTTCAAATAATTTAAACTATTAAACACTTTATATATATATATGTACAAACACAAATGAAACAAATTTTGAACTTGATTAATTATAAGTTAGCATTTTCGCGAGTTCAACATAAAACTAAAACATATATGAAAAAAAGGGAAAATCATAATTTTTTTGACATTTTAAAATGTAATGCTTGTTTATAAAATTATTTAAATATTATTAATAAATTTTTTACGTATTAATTATAAAATTATTTAATTTTTTTACTATTGTTCTTAATATCTTAATTATTAGAAATGACCGATTTCTGCAACCCCAACACAAATATATTAGGGACTTGTTGGAATGTGTTAATGAACCTGCAATTAGTGCAACCTCCCAATGAAAGATGGGTTCAAAAATAGGAAAAAGCACTTCTTTGAGTAAGGCTTGTATACGAAGGAATGAGCTCTGTCATGGCACATGCAAAATTTCAATGACTATTTGATGCCTACACGGTCCACAGTATACAGTCCACAGT